ATGTCACAGGTAGCTTGCCAGGTTTTGCCATGCGGGTGAGATACTCTCGAAGCTTGCCGGGCTCTCCGAGAGGGGCAGAGGAATCGAACCAGGGGCAAACACCCTACCTGCTGTGCTATCGCTCCAGCCCTTCAGAACATGGGATAAAAATAAATATAACAATTGAATATTACTTTGCAGATTTTGAAAATTGTATAATAAAAAGTAATTGTCTTGTTATTTCCTTAATTATTGAGTTTTCAAGGTTTTTTGGTGGGGGACACTTTGGTGGTATTCAGGGCTGACTCTTTGCTCTGTGCTCAGGGATTAGTCCAGGCCGTGCTTAGTTTGAACAGGGTCAGTCACTTGCAAGACAAGCACCTTAATCTCCATCCTATCTCTCTGACCCCTCTATTTTATTTCAACCTAGAGAACAGGAACTGGAATATTTTATGATGATTCTATAGAGTCCTGAATATTCCGGCTTATTCCTTTTTTCAACTTCACTAATGAACAATATACTGAGATGGAAAATTATATTTTGTGTTTAGTGTCTTTCCAGTTTTGATATATGTGCTGCAGAAGTGAGCACTGCACTTAATATCTGTGTATAAGATGTCATGATTGGGGGCTGAATACACACTTGATTGTAGTCTTGCATTTATTTAGCTATGGTGTTCACAGGGGGTGATACTTGTTTAGTGGTGTTCTACGTGTTGCCAGGGCTCGCACTCCTGGTCAAGATGTTCACTGACCCTTTCATCTGTCGAGCTCATCAGTGGTCACCTTCTTCAGTTTCTGTGATCGCACATACCGGACTGTGGTCCAACAAAGAAAGCTTTTGCACTCCAAGGATCAGAGAAATCAGAGCCGCCAGGATCATGCTTGGAGTATGCATTGTCACTGGGGATTGAACTCAGGGTCTCAGGCCTGCAAGGTAGGCTCTTCATCACTGAGCCCTCTGCTTTACTGATTTTCTGTTGCTGGAACACCAAGAGTTGAATCCATGGCCTCACGTGTTTGAACCATGTGACCTACCACTGAACCACATTGCCAATCCATCCAACTTTCCGCAAATGCACTTTCATGTATTCTTGTTTCTTAATTCTATGGCTTAGTTACCTTTTTATTTTGGCTCAAGAAATATTTCTGGAATGCGGTTCCAGGTTGTATTAGGCCCTAGGAATAGCAGATGGGAGATACCATTTTTATATCTGTGTGAAATATTAATTAGTGAATGAAATGTCAAAACAAAACATTCATATACCTGTATATGAATGCTACACATTCATATACATAGTTGATAGATGCTATATTTGCTATATGAAAAGAGGTGTTATGGGGACCCAAAAGAGAAACATATAATAAAAAACTTCATCAATCATGTTAGAGGGAGAACTATTTTCTCAACAAAAATATTGCAAAATATGAAGAGGCAGGGAATATACAGGTAAAACAGAGTAAAACTCATATTAGAGTGTTGTGTAGGATAATTTAAATTTATAAAAAATAATGTTATTTTCTTGGATGTGGGGATGTTTGTGTTAACTTTAAAAAAATGAGATGGTGTTTCACTTCAAAAATTCACTTTCACGTGGGGCTTTTCCTTGTATAAATCACTATATTGTATGATAGTCAGATCACAATTTGGTACAACCTGAATCCACTGTTTTTGTTTTTTTGTTGTTGTTATTGTTGTTGTTGTGTTTTATGCCATACCTGGCTGTGGTCAGGGTTTATTCCTGGCTCTAGGCTCAGAGGCCACTCCTGTGGGGTGCAGGGGACCATCTGAAGTGCTGGAAATCAAACCAAGCAAGAAAATTGTACCTTACCCTCTGTGCTATTTTTCTGGCCCATACTCAGGGGTTACTCTGAATACTAAGGACTGATCAATGAACAAAACAGAAGAAAAAGGTATCGTGTAAGCTTATGTTGGAATCAGGAGAGACAGGCTACTCCAGTAAAACAGATAGCAGGTTGTAAGAGCCAGGAAAGCAAGCTGAGGAAGGTTAAAGGAGGCAGGGATCTGTGGGCGAGATGAAAACACAATTTGGAATGAGTTGATCAGGAGGGTGAGCAGGCCTCAGACCTGCAGGGACTGGTTACTGATGCAACTAGTATAATCTATTGTAAGGGGCAGGAGCATAGGTTAGTGGGTAAGCAGCTTACCTTAGGAGCGCCAGAGCTCTGCCAGGTGTGATCCCTGAGTGCAGAGCCAAGAGTAAGCCCTGAGCACTGCCGGGTGTGGCTACCCAAACTCAAATCAAACAAAAACAATCTCTAGTAAGGTATCAGATTAGTGGTACACTACCCATCTTTTCAGGTCCTGTTAGAATACTCAAAGTATTCAAACCCCAAAGACCCAGGAGTAGAAAAAGGTAAAGCCTGACCAGAGTTAAGAGCTGAATAAACTGCCTGAGGATAATATTGGGAAATAATGTGGTGGGGGTGGGAGGCTGGAACGATAGCACAGCGGTAGGGCGTTCGCCTTACAAGCGGCCAACATGGCCGACCCAAGTTCGATTCCTCCGCCCCTCTCGGGGAGCCTGGCAAGCTACCGAGAGTATTCGATATGCCAGACACAGTAACAACAAAGTCTCCAATGGAGACGTTACTGGGCCCGCTCGAGCAAATCGACGATCAACGGGAGGGCCTTACCTTAATGTGGTGGGGGAATATTGTACCACAGCGTCTTTGGGAAGTGAGAGCCCCAAGGGGCATGACCCTTCGGAAATAGGTCTGATGGCCAGAGTATTTGATGTTTGGTCAACCAAGAGAGGTGAGACACTTAGATCCTTCTTATTCACTGAGCAGTCGACCTTCCTTCTAAATCAAAGTTGGGAAAATAGCTAAAATATGTATAGGGCACACAGTTTGTTTTCTCTAAAAAAATAAAAGCATAGGAGCTATAATTGTGACCATTTAAAACATTCTTAGAATACCTTCCTTATGGTATTTGGTTTTTGCTGGCAGTAGAAAGGGGATCGGGCCAAGTTGCAACTGGGTGTAATGACTGCCACTGAGCTGATTAGCCTCAGTTTTATCATCTATAAAATGGGAATAATAAGTTTCTTTTATGAGAGTGAAATGAGAACCTTGTGTTTAAATGAAATTTTTTAAACCTCCAAAGTAGTGAGGCATAATTATAAAGCTTCATTAAGTGGTTTGTAGAAGGTAAGGATCATTGTTATGAAGCATCTGATTTAAGTGGCAATAATCAGAGTTAAGACAATCCAAAATGTGTTTTATTTTTCTTTTTACAAAATGCTTTAAAATGCTTTATTATAGCCTGCATGCATCAAGAAAGTAATCTAAGCTTTCACCATCTTTCAGTGGCACGTTAGACGAAGAGATAGACAGCCTTCTTAAATCTCAAAAGCAGAGTAGGTATTTTGTTTTCTTACTTGAATGCTGAAGGAGTGACCCTTATCCAAAAGGTTGAGTATCCAAAATAACCGGGTATCTTCTCCAAATTGCCGGCTAGGTAGTGTTTAAATGATACTTGTCAGCAAGAAAGACGATCCCAAGAATGAACAAAAATAGCCTCTGTTCAACAGCTGTGATACCCACATCTTATAAGCTGTGGGATCATCTCTCATCAGACTTGGTGTCACAGTAGAATGGCCGTATGTTTGCCATTTGGATGTTTACCGCCTCTCAGAAAACACACTTCTGTTACGAACTGTTCATTCTGATCCACACGGCTCCAAATGACAAATTGTGGTAAGTGACTTCCTGTTGGATGAAAAGGACCTGGAAACTACTGTCCCACATTAGCTAAAATATTAAAAAAAAATATTCACAATGGGGCCCTGGATGCGGTTTGGCATGAAGCACTTGGCCTGCAGGTGTGAGGCCCTGGGTTCCACACCTAGCTCCGAGAAAGAAAAGAGTTCTCCAATCTGAAAACATGCACACATTGATGCCACCCATCTATGCAGTGAACAATTCTTAGGCCCTGGAAGGTTTTCGAGGCTGGGGAACAGTACAATACAGAGAGCAGAGAGAAAAGGAAGGAGGCCTGGTGGGGGGCAGCAGGGGGGGAGGGGGGGAGAATGAATCACCACCCAGATGTAAGGAGAGAAGGAAGGAGGCAGGGTGGGAAAGGGGAGGGAGGGAGGGAGGGAGAAGAGAGGGAGAGGAAGAGGGAGGTGGGGAGAGGAGAGGAAAGAGGGAGAGAAGGAAGGAGGCAGGGTGGGAAAGGAGGGGGGAGGGAGGGAGGGAGAAGAGAGGGTGAGGAGGAGGGAGGTGGGGAGAGGAGAGGAGAGGAGAGAGGGAGAGGAGAGAGGGAGAGGAGAGAGGGAGAGAGAGGGAGGGAGGGAAAGGGAGAAAGAGAGAGGGAGACAGGGTGGGAGGGAGAGGGAAGGAGAGGGAGAGGGAGAGAGGGAAAGGGAGAGAGAGGGAGGGAGAGAAAGAGGGAAGGAGGTGGGAGGGAGAGTAAAAGGGAGATGGAGGGAAGGAGGGAGAGAAGGAGAGGGAGGTAGAGAGAAAGGGAGAGGGAGAGGGAGAGCAGCGAGGGGGAGAGGGAGGGGAGAGAGAGGAGAGAAAGAAAGAGAGAGAGAAAGAAAGAGAGAAATAAAGAGAGAGAAAAAGAGAGAGAGAACCATCACCCACCCACCCGATTTTCGCCCGCCTGGCATCCCGCCTCGCGGAGCGTTTCTACGCCCCTCACGCCGCGTCCCGCTTCCCCGGCGGCGGCGGGGGTCCGCGTGCGGCTCCGAGACCCCCGATCCCTCCCTGGGCGAGCAGCAGTCGGGACGCCGCGGCCGCCGGGCTCGGGCGGGAGGGGTCCGGGCGTCCCCGGGTGGGGGCGGGTCCTCCGCGCACGCCCCCCACCCCCCGCCTCCGCCCCCGGACCCGAGCAGAGCCCCCGCGCCGCCCCGCCCGCCCGTGCCCGCACCAGCCCCCGGGCCCGGGGGCCGCACACCTGTCGCGGCGGCGGCGGCGGCGGCGGCGGCGCGTCCCCCCCGCCCGCCCGGGCCCGCTGCACTGTGGGTAGCGGCGGCGGCGGCGGCGGCGGCGGCGCGGGAGCCGGCGGCGGGGAGCGCGCGCCGAAGATGGCAGAGAAGCAGAAGCACGACGGGCGGGTCAAGATCGGCCACTACGTCCTGGGGGACACGCTGGGCGTCGGCACCTTCGGCAAAGTCAAGAGTTGAGTGCGCGCGGCCGGGCGGGCGCGGGGTCCCCGGCGCCGGCCGGCGCCCCGCGGCAGGTGGAACCGGCCCCTCCCGGGCGCCGGGGCCGCGGGGTCGCGAGGGCGGGGGCTGCCGGGGTGGGCGTGGGGGGCGCCCGGCCCGAGGGGGCGGTGACCGGACGCCGGTCCCCGGGGAAGGGTCGCAAGCGCCGCGCCCTGGCGGGGTGGGGTGGGGACGCCCCCCGTGCCCCGCGCGGCGGCGGGAGGGGGCGCGGGCCGGGCCGGGAGCGGCGCGGGGGTCCCGGGGCCCGCGGGTGCGCCCGGCCCCGACCCCGACCCCGGCGAGGAGGGTCCCCGGCGCGAGGGGACGTGCCCAAGGTCACCCCGGAGCGGGCAGCGCCGGGATGAGGGCTGACATGTCGTCCCCGTGCCCAGGGCGCTGACAGTTAGGGCGCTGGGTCTGGGGCGGGGTCTGGGGCGGGGACGGTACCGGCACTGGTACCGGGACTGGGGCGGGGTCCTGGGGCGGGGGCTGGTTCCGACACTGGTCCCGGCACTGGGGCGGGGACCTGGTGCGGTGCAGGGTCTGGTATCGGGACTGGCACCGGGACTGGAGCGGGGACCTGCTGCGGGGTGTGCTGTGGGGTCTGGTACCGGGATGGGCACCGGGTCTGGTACCAGGACTGGTACCGACACTAGTGCGGGGATCAGCTACGGGGACCTGGTACTGGTTCTGGTACCGACACTAGTGCGGGGATCTGGTACGGGGTCTGGTACCGGGACTAGGGCGGGGATCTGGTGCAGGGCTTGTGGGCTGCGCGGAGGAGGGGTGGGGAGGGGGCGGGCCGGGGGCTCACCCGCTGGTTCTGGAAGATTCCTGGACTGGGCAGGGAGGGGGCACAAAGGTTGCCTTGGTGGCCGACCCGGGGGTTCGGGACGCGGACCGGGCACCAGATGACCTGCCCCGTCCGAAGTGGAGGTCTTCGTGCTGGAATCCCATTTTTACCGGACCGGGCTCCGAGTAGGGGCCGGGAGAAGGCGGGTTGCTTAGGGAATATTTTATTTCGCAGTAGCTAAGTAGAGGACTTTCTCTTTTGTTGTTGTTAGTGAGTCACATGGGACTTAATTCATTTGTCCCCATTGCAGAGCGAGAGGCAGGCGTCTTAAAAACGTGCAGATGTGCTTCGAGGGCTGCGAATCTAGAATTAGAAGTAAAACGTTGGCCCTTCCCCAGCGCCTTTGCTGTAGAAAATACTGGATGTCTAGAACCAGGCATTTCATTCTGAGGGCATTTATTTCTTATAAAATACAATTTTAGCTTCCAGATTTTAATTATTTTCCTTTTTTTTTAAAAAAATTATTTTTGGTTTGGTTTTTGGAGCCACACCCTGTAGTGCTCAGAGCTTAACTCTTGTCTCACTCCTGGTAGTGGTTGCAGCACCGTTTGCAGTGCCGGGATTGGCACAGGGCTTGGTTGACGGCAAGGCAAGCTCCTTCACTGGATGCTATCTATCCAGCCCAAGTCAAGACTTGTTTAATAGATAGGAGAAAGCCTTTGTTCATCAGGGGGCAAGGATCAGCATCTCTATTTCACTTATCTCTTGCTTTTGCTCAGAACCCACTTATTAAGTGCTTGCAGAGTGCTAGACAGTTCTGTGAAGGGGTGAGGGAATATAGCCAGAAACAAAGCTCCATTTAAACCCCCTCTGAGAAGTTTATATCCTGGGGATGACAGTCTATTTCACTTATGTATAGCATTTTTAAAATACTTATAAATATCTAATTGTATGTTAAAAATTCATAAAATAAATAGGATTCGTTATGTATTTGGTGCTATTGAGAAAAATATGTCTAAGGCTATTGAGAAAGTCAGAGGAGAGAGGAGTTGAACAATTTGCAGTCATCAGGCAAGTCCTTACAGACAAACTGGTATTTGCATAAAGACCAAAGAGTTGGGCAGGTTCAGGGTTAAGGCCCAGGCTACCACCTGGTTTGATTCCCAGCACCGCCAAGAGTGCCACCTGAGGACAGAGCCAGGAATCACCCTCATGCCACTGTCTGTAGCTATTGCAAAAAAAAAAAAAAGGAAAAGTTCATAAAATTTTTTGTAGTCCAACAAGGGTGGTGAATTCTCTTTCAAAGACCTCATGAATGGAAGTGAATTAATATTGGGAGCTAAAGGGATAGAGGAACTGGATTAATGCCTGCAATGTTACTTGTCATGAGATAGCTTTTCTGTGAACCATTGTATTACAACATTATAGTTTCTCAATCTACCTTTGTTGTCTGGGCATGTACGCTCTCTGAGTTATATGGGTCTGAAGAGCGAGTACAGCGGGTCAGGCATTTGCCTTGCAGGGTCTGTCTGACCAGGTTCGACCTCTGGCATCCCTTAAGGTCCTCTGAGCACCACCAGGAGTCATCCCTGAGCACAAAGCCAGAAATAATCCCTAAAGATTATTGCATTGGGTTTGCCCCCCCCCCCAAAAAAAAAAACAGAGCATTATATAACGCAGCCCTACATTTGGTGTTACACTTTTATTCTCCATTTATTTATTTATTATGTAGACGTATTGCTACTTATTCTGCTATTGATTTTTAGGCTGATTGTTTTATTCTCCTTTTAAAAGTGTACTGTTTTCTGAGTGTGGTCTAAAGCACCATCAAATCCGTCAGCCCTTTGTAAAAGGACAAATGGAATCTCTCTTGTTTATATTCTTGAAAGCTTCCAGGCACTGGCTTTTGCAAATATAGATCAACAGAATGTACTTTTAGTTCTAAGAAATCCTTTTCCTAGAGGACCCTGTCAAGAGAACAGCCAATCAGAGGGTGCTCCTAACATCAGGCCAGAAGCTCTGTGAAGCTGGTCTTTTCCCAAACTTGAAATTAGTTCAGTTGTGTTCTAGTAAAACCCTGAGAAGGTCTACGGTCTAAAGGGACTCACTCAATTCTTTAAGGGCACAATTATTTAAAAAGTAACTTTATTGAGGTGTATATTCCCTATTATAAAAGTCACCAATTTCAAGTGTACAATGATTTTTGGCAGCTTTGACAAATAGTGAACTGTCATCGGTTTTATAACATTTTCATCACTACAAAAGATCCCTAAAACTTTTTTAATAAAAAGAAATGATCCCTCATGCTCAGTCACAGTTAATACTTAGTCCCACCTCTGCAACTCCAGTTTTTTGTATAAATTTTCTTTCTCAGACACTTAAAAGTGGAATCATTCATTCAACATGAAGTGTCTCGTTTCTGGCTTTAACAATATTTTTGAGGCACATATACAACATGGTATGTGTCAAATGCTTTTTACTGAATAATATTTTATTGCTTGATATGCCACTTTCTGTCTGTCTCCTCACAGTTGACCAATGTTGCCTTCTGGTTGAACTGTTACAAACAGCACCATCAGCACATTTGTAGGCAAGGCTTTTTGTAGTAGACATGTTTTTTTTCTGAGTAGATATCCTGAATAGAATTTCATAAAGCTAGCATATTTTTATGCCTCATTTTAAAAAGAAACTGCAAGCTGTTTTTCTAGGCATTTAATATTAATTTAAAACCCTACCACAGGGCCAGAGCAATAGTACAGTGGCTAAGGTGCTGGCCTTGCATGTTCTGACCCAAATTTGCTTCCTAGCACTGTGTATGGTACCTCAAACCACTGCAGGAATGATCCCTGAGCACAGAGCCAGGAGTAAGTCCTGAGCACAGGTGGGTGTCAATACTGTCATTGTCACTGTCCTCCCGTTGTTCATCGATTTTCTCGAGTTGGCCCAGTAACATCTCCATTGTGAGACTTTGTTGTTACTGTGTTTGGCATATCGAATACATCATGGGGAGCTTGCCAGGCTTTGCTGTGGGGGCGAGATACTCTTGGTATCTTGCTGGGCTCTCCGAGAGGGGCGGAGGAATCGAACTCGGGCTGGCCATGTTGGCTGCGTGCAAGGCAAACGCCCTACCGCTGTGCTATTGCTCCAGCCCGGGTGTCAATAAAGATAAATAATTTATCAATATGCCTACCAACTCTAATGAGGGTTCCTATAGCTCCTATACCAACAATGAGGGTCCTCAGATGTCTATGGCCTTGTCAGCATGTGTTGCGGTCTGTTAGGCATTCTAAAGAGAGATGTTATCTCATTGTGACTTTAATTCCAATTTCCCCAATGACTAATGGTGTTGAAAATCTTTTCATTGCTTGGGGGAGATAGTTCAGGGGCCACACCCTGAGTTCCATCCCTGCTCCCCTCGACTCACCCAACACCTCTCCGATCAGCTTAGCCCTGACCCTTCAGATTAGGTTGGCCTAGAATATCAGGGCCCTGAGCCCATTGAGCACTGCTTGGGAGGCCCTCCACCCACCCCCAGACTTATTATATCTTGTGTGAAATGTTCTGTCATCTTTTTTGATTGTTTGGTGACAATGATTAAATCCAGGATCTCATATATTTGCAACACATACCACTGAGTTACCACTGAGTTACATCCCTAGCCCTTTGTTCATGTTCTTTCATTTCATTTTTTGATTGGATTGTTTGCCATCTTATACATTGACTTATAAGAATTCTTTATAAATTTTGGTTGGAGTGATAGTATAATCAGTATAGGTAGAGTGTTTGCCCTGAATGTGGCCATCCTGGGTTCGATTTCTGACACCACATATGGTCCCCTGAGCCCACCAGGAGTGATCTCCAAATACCACTGGGTGTGGCCCCCAAACAAGCAAGCAAACTAAAAACCAAAAAAAAAAAATTACATAAAAATTCTGTATATGTTTCTTTTTGGATTTGTAAATCTGTATATTTTGTGTATGTTTGGTTTTGGGCCACGCTTGTTTGGCAGCTGTTCCCATGCAGGTGCTTGAGAGAGAGGCACCGGGCTTGGGGCGTGGGGGCCTTTGCAGGGCTGAGGATCAAACCTAAGGTTCTGCCATGTAAAGCTGCACTTCCGTTCTTTGAGCTCCCTCCCAGGCTCCCACATATTGCATATATTTGGCAAATATTTTCCAGTTTGT